TATGTGCCGGTGTCAGACATTGCCAGGGATATAATGTCCTTTTTGGCGAACAGGTAAGATATGCGAGAAAGCCAGACAAAAAAGGACTGCAGTATGCATTACAGGGGTATATTCACCACATAATTGAAGCTAGCTTAGCCTAGCCGCCTCATACGCTAACCATTCAACAGCTTAGCTCATGTCCAGCAGGAGAGGAGGAATTTAAAAATAATCTAGTAATAACAAATCCTGATTTCTCTATTTTTAGTCAAAAAGCCTGATAGACTACTTGTTGTGCAATGAAATATAGCGTAACTTACCAACGAGGAAACACACCTGGACAGTGCTTTTACATAACATTAGTTCATTCATAGTAAGAACAGCAAGAAAGGGTAAACAGATGAATTTGTGCCAAATATTAGTATCATTGGCCCATAACAATGTACAGTAAGTTACCTATAACTGTCAGTATTTTTTTGTGCTCTTTATAAATTACTCAAAAACATCTACTGGAAAATTATATTATATAGTGCTCAGTTTGTGATCATATCTTGGTTTTGTTCTGTTGATTTGTAATTCAAATATTCGTAGCTTGAAATAGATGGAGATATGAAGTTCAGTAAAGTTAGCAACGGACTCGCAGATTCGTATTTACCGGATCAATCATAACCTATTCGCTATTCATATGACTAAGTTACTATAGTAAAGGCTTAAACAGACCAGTGTCTATAGTATCTAGCGAAAAAAAAAAGAAAAAGACAGCTGTGAAACATAACCTGCTTTGTATTTTTGTAGGAAACACAGTTTTAATCTGTTTAGGGTAAGAGGTGTGTGAGTTATTGCTGTCGGTCTATCACTGAATGTGTCAGGAATATCAAAACAAAACCAACTTAACTCCGCTCCTTTAGCGCCCCTCACCCAGCTTGATCCACGCAGGCATTTCTCCTCATGGGCTTTTAGTTTTGAAAAGGGAAAAAATTCCACCATCCCGTCCAAACTTTGAGGATACCGGGTGTCAGATTTGCACAATCCATATGTACTCGCTCGAAAGCTTGACAGAGCCCCTGTGCTTAGCTACACTTGCTAAGCCACGATTGGTGGGTGATGGTTTTTGGGTGTGGCTTAGCGAAGGATCAATTGACGACCTAATTAGAAATGCTGGACTTTGCAGTTCTCATGTTATATTAGGTAAGTTCACACAATGCTGAATCATACACATTACTTGTTTTTAATTGCAGCAATGGTTTCAGCAAAAACAGTGTAAGTTATTCAGATAAACTTGTTTTTATATTCAAACATTCATTCAGTGACAACTTGTGACACACTTCCTATATTGTTTACACGGCACTTCGAATATTCGGTCTGAAATAACCTGCAAGTGTGACTTGAAAACAACATTAACACTGTTTATTTGACTGTAAACAATGTTGTAGTTTGAAAGTCATTGGCTGCTAATTTGATTTCGCTATTTAGAGTTTGTTAATAAAACTTTTATGAAATTATATTATTGAGAAAGTCCGAATGTGCGAATACAAAACCAACTTTACCTTTATGTTTAAGCTCACATACCCTGCCGTACAGGTGTAGTTCAGCAGTTGTTCTGCTTGTTGATGATTAATTACCCAGGCTTTGTACAGCTCCGTCTTCTTTCCTTGTCTTTGGCTTGGCAGAACCTTATTTCTTGCACATGACCACACAGAACAACATTGTTGGCATCCAAAGACTTGTAGGCCTTTAAACTTCTCTCTTGTAAAATCACTTGGAGCTTCAATGAGATTGTATATTTCGGGTTGGATGCTTGGTCGTTTTGTTTTATCCAATATCCATTGGGAGGGAGCTATCGCAAATGGTCCTGTTAGATGAACACCGCACACTTTAACGTTAATTTTGCCGAATCACTGTGCTTATCACTGGGTGACAAGCTGTTATAATATGCTTAAAGCATTATGTAAATAATTTATATAATATGTAATCAATATATCTTATTTCAAATACAACAACAAACTCTGTACTGTATTGAATGTCATTCCCTCGGTGTAAATGCAAGCAATCCCATTTTTTTTTTCTGCCACCTCCCTGCATATGCATCCTGAATGTTTAGAAACATGGTAATTCGTTTATTGGAGAAGCAGCAGCAGGGGTCCGTTCTTCGTACCTCGCTTAAATGATCTAAGATGATTTGGCAGATCCTGGATCTTTTAATCTTGATAACTGATCTCTCGCTTATTTGGTTCTTCAAACAAGTTCGCGAATCAGATTAGAATGTCTGGATGAACTGATCTGAGATCGCTGCGTTTGTTGTTAAGAACAGATCTATCGATCCTCGAAATCATGATCAGCAATGCAACGATTGGCTGACGGCACAGCAGCGTAATGACATCATCTGATTAATATTCAATTATCCATGTGAGCAAAATTACATCAAATTAGCAGTAAACGGCTTGTTAAATAAGACACGCAGTAACTTCACATTTGTTGTGAGCTGCAGGCTTTACACTTTCATTTGTCAAGACAAGAGTATTCATCATGTATTTCAATGCAAATCAATGTATTTAGTTCTACATTTAGAAAAGATTTTCTTTATTATAGTACAGTTTTTTAATCGGTGTAAAGAATAACTGGTTGTTTCCAAAAGCATTTTGATATTGGTAAAGGCGTCTGCAACTTTTGTGAAGCATCAAATCACTGGCATATTAACTGTCAAAACATGTTTATGACTGCATAAATGTATTATTGCTTTTAAAAAAAAGTCACATATTGTGCATTTCTATTATACACAATTTGTACTAAAGCGATCTAAAAAGTTCATATCAATAAGTTTTCTCTTTGCACCACCAGGTGGCAGTCTTTGTACTTTCATTTCGAGGGTGCAGATTGCATACGTTTTATTAATATGTAAAACTTTATTTATTTTATTAATGACTATAACTTTAAATATATAGTTAAAAACTACTATTTTCCCAAGTGTATATAACTTTTACTGTAAGAAAATATCAGAACTCGGTACATACTTTCTGTATTATCTTTGCTTGAACTGAGCCGATCTAATCCTGTTTATATGATTTGAACCTGCTCCCGATCAGATTTGACCTAGCAGATCTGTTGCCATGACAACAACTCTCGGATCAGCTTTGAAGAACGAAACGATCCTGGATCGTGTCAAATCGTCAATATCCAAATCCAGCTAACTGAGTAATCCACGTACGAAGAACGGACCCCAGGTTAATCTCCCATTGACGAGTCTTTCATGCAGTGAAATCTCCTCAGGACTTTGGATTATGCATTCAGACATTAATGTCCAAACACATCTTTATATAAGTTCAATATTGTTGTTGCAGATGAAATAAAATACATAAAAAGCCATTTAAATATGTTCCAGTTGGATAGAGATTAATTAAAAATCATACAAACAACTTTATCGAAGACTCTACTTGACTGTTGGTCTCGCACGTCCATCATATTTGTAGTTTGTTTACACTTTTCTCTTGCATTTGTAGTTCTAATCGAATTCACGTCCAATGTACTGTGGGCAATATCAGCAGTTAGAGTATTCTACACTTAAAACTTTAACCGGAAATAGTAAACCATCCGGGAGCCTTTAGCAGGTCGCACACCAGAAGCGCCGCTCGGCGCCGCGACACGGCGCGTACATGACAGTTTAAAGTATCACACACCAGACGCGCACATTCGAATGATATTTAACATGAAACTAATCAGATGGCGCTCTGTGGCGCGGCTGAAAAATGAACTGCGTCCTGAGCCGTCGCCGGGCGCCGCCGACAGCCGCCGACTTGCGGCGCTGGTGTGTGTATCCTGATAGAAACCTATGTTTAGAATTCTAAAATACATGGCGCTGCGTGGCGCTGCACGGCACGCCGCCGAGCGGCGCTTCTGGTGTGCGACCTGCTTTTGGCATACTGTTTTCAACATACTATGGTTTGGGACATACTAATTCTATTTTCAAATACTATTTAGGATGGATAGTATGCGAATTTGGATGCAGCAATACGTTCCTGATATGTGAGTCCTATCTCACACTCAACAAACTACGATTACTGTGGTATAAATTTATACAGCACTACAACATACAAAAGAGAGGGATCGACCTAGAATGTCACTTACCAGATTTATAATGATTTGATCAGCTGTAGTTTGTAGTTTTATGAGAGCTTTTCCTCTAAGGGCTTATTATGCACTCCCTGTCACGATTTTGGGGATGGACAACTTCAACCTTCTTTGCTCTGCTCAATGACAGGCTGATGGATGCCGACGAATGTATCTCCGAAATTATAAATACTTAAAATAGGAACTATCTTTATAAATAAACTAAATAGTTGCAATCTAAATAATTGAGTTCTTGACTAAAAAAATCCTCAAGCACATTATGTTGTCCAACAGCTGCAAATTTATCAAACTGTGGTCCTCTGCTTGCCACTCGTGTGAGCTGAGTAATACACAAGAGTGAAGAGTTTGTACACATTTCAATAATTCCAAAGGTTGTAAAAAATGAAACAGACATTTATGCAGTTTTTTTTAAATATATGTTAAATATTAAACATATTTAATATATGTGAAATCTAAATAGAAACATGTATGTCATATATGTAATTTGCATATATCAAATTTCTATATGGGCAGACAAAATTGTAGACTGAATGTAAAAGTCATGATTATCAATATCCTGTTCTGTCTTATTTCCAAAAAAAAAAAAAAAAAGCAAAACCAACACTGCATGTCACACCTCTGCTCTTGACTGTTGCTAACAATAGATAAGATACAGATTTATTATTGGTAAGGGTTTTCCCAAATCTCAATTTGTGTCTGTGACACTTCTTAATTACTTTCTATTGATCTGATGCCTTGCTGAGCTGTTTCTGTTTATTGCTTTCCACACTCAAATAAACAGCTATAAACTCCAGATACACAGTAATTGTAGGCAGGCTGCCATTATCTATAATCCTCCATCACGTTCTACAACACCCTACATGTCCTGCTGGGGTTTTTCTTCAATAGTCTCTTACCCATTATGCTGGCCTTGCCCAGGTTGGTGATGGACTCGCTGTAGTGTCTGCGAGGCTGAGGTGGAGAGGTGCAGGGGCTTGGCAGACTCTCCGTATCCGACACTGACGCATTTTCCTTTGATGGATTCAGTAGAGTGGGACGGATCTGGTCATACGGTGTGGGGCTGGTGGTGTTGTACCTACAAAAAAATAGATAAAAAATCAATGGTCACATTCAGCTTAAACCAGAAGTTTACATACATAGTATAAAGACACATAAACATGAAAAAGTCAGATGTTAATGTGACTAAACTTATTCTTTTTTAGGTAAGTTAGGATTATCAAATTTGTTTCTGTTATGCTTAATAGCAGAACAATGAGAGATATTTTTTGCGAAATTGCTACAACTTTTCTTGAAAGTCAAGTTTACGTACAATAAAATAATTATGCCTCTGAAAAAGCTCAGATGATGGTGCCAAGGTTTTGGAAGTTTCTGATAACATTTGACAACATTTGAGGTAATTGGAGGCACAACTGTAGAATAGCATTTAAGGAAAACCTCAAATACACTGCTTGCTGTAGTGACAACATGGGAAAATCAACAAGCCAGAATCAACAAAAAAGCCAGATTACAATTTGCTAAATTACACTGGAAAAAAGACTAATTTTTTGCAGACATGTCCTGTGGTCTGATGGAACTGAGATTGAACTGTTTGGCCATACTGACCAGTGTTACATTTGGAGGACAAAGGGGAAAGCTTACAAGCCTAGGAACACCATCCCAACTGTGAAGTATGGGGGCGGCAGCATCATGTTGTGGGGCTGTTTTGCTGCAGGTGGGACTGGTCCACTTCACAGCATAGATGGCATCATGAAGAAAGAACATTATGTGGAAATACTGAAGCAACATCTCAAGATATCAGCCAGGAAATTAAAACTTGGCCACAAATGGGTCTTCCAAATAGACCATGACCCCAAGCATACTGCCAAATTAGTTAAAATATGCTTTAAGGACAACAGAGTGAATGTTTTGGAGTGGCCATCACAAAGCCCTGATCTCAAGCCTATAGAAAATTTGTGGGCAGAGTTGAAAAAGCTTCTGCAAGCAAGACAGCCTACAAGTCTGACTCAGTTACACCAATTCAGTCTGGAGGAATGGGACAAAATTCCTTCAGAATATTGTGAGAAGCTTGTGGAAGGATACCCAAAACATTTGAAAGTTATACCCAAAATTATATAGTTAAAAGCAAAGCAAAAAAAAAAAAAAAAAAAAAACAAGGAAATGTATGTAAACTTTTGACTGTCTAGAAATTAATAAACATTTTTTTTAAATGTTCTCATTATTCTGGCATAAGCAAATGTAAATAATTTAGGTAGTCCTAACAGATCTAAAATTGTAAACATTTAGTATGTTTTACCATCAGACAATTAAAAAAATGGTTGTGTTGCTTTTTTACAGTGTATGTAAACTTCTGGTTTCAAATGTATGTAGAATAAACAAATTACTTTTTTTTTTTTAAGTATCAAAAATAACGATGGAAGTTATAATAATGATGACGTGTTTCTGCTTAAAGTTTTAAACTAGAAATCGACAGACACACAATGACATGATATTTACCATCTATTTGACAATTACTCATGATATGTTAATGAATTAGTTTGCTCACAGCAATTTCTGATATTTTATAAGGAAACAAGCAAGCAAATAAGTAAGTTACACATCATTTTACTTACCAGTGAATCTGGACAGGTGTTATATTACTATAATGCTTCAGAATGAGAGGCTCCAACCTGTATGCCTGCCAAAAAAAAATAAAAAATTCCAAGTTATTTATTGAAAAATTAAATAACTATTTACACAACAACAACAAAAAAATGTTTGTATAAGAGAGTTGGTATAGTAGAGAAAAAAATTAATAGCAATATTGTTATATTATTATATTCATTCATTTTCTTTTTAAATATTATTCATTTTTAGTCCATTCATTAATCCAGGGTCGCCACAGCGGAATAAACTGCCAACTTATCCAGCATAGGTTTTACGCAGCGAATGCCTTTTCAGCTGCAACCCATCTCTCAGAAACATCCATACACAATCATACACACTTATATACTACAGACAATTTTAGCTTACCCAATTCACCTTTACCGCATGTCTTTGGACCGTGGGGGAAGCCGGAGCGCCCGGAGGAAACCCATGCGAACGCAGGGAGAACATGCAAACTCCACACAGAAACGCCAACTGACCCAGCCGAGGCTCAAACCAGCGACCTTCTTGCTGTGAGGCGACAGCACTACCTACTGCGCCACTGCGTCACCCTTATATTATTATATCGTTTTTTTTTTTTTTTCATATATAATATTTTAGTTTACTTAAAAAGTCCAATTACTTCGGATCCCTTAACAAGTGGGAGGCACATATGCAAACTGTTGTAATTCCGACAGTGTTCACCTGATTTGTAAAAACTTTCAAATTAAAGCTGACAATCAGAAGTTAAAGCACATCTTGTTTGTTTAATTTCAAATCCATTGTGATGGTGTATTTATTTTAAAACAACTTCACACATTTTGCAAATCTTCATCACAACTTTTTATCAACTGAATTTGTCTTTGCTGAATAAAATTGAGTTAATTTATAATCTTACATGATCAATGTTTAAATGGCAAATTCTGCAAACAATAATTTTATCATTGTTACTATTAAATGTTTCTTGAGCAGCAAATGGTCATATCAGAATAGTGTGGTGTAGCAGGTGCAAAACAGAAAGGTAAAAATGTTCGTTATTTTGTGACTTCACTTGTCATGACCATAGTTGGGGTTTCCTGTATCCATGTTGATTTGGGGAGTGTGGGCGCTTTGCTTCTCCCCAGTCTGCATGAGATTCAGCAGCCGTAGGTCACACAAGTGTATGTGGTGACATAAGAGTGTCATATTTCGTTCAACTAATGAATCCTGATGATGTGACTGTTTAATTGTGATCTAAGGTCTGTTTGTGAAGTATACACAGATGCTGGTCGATTATTTCTTATAACTTTTTGTTATGTTTGTTATTTTTCTCTCATAGTGCGAGTGAATACATCATACATGCTGTTAGGCTGCACAAGTCCTCTTATATGTTCCTTTGTGTTATCCAGGTACATGTTTTGTTGTTATATGTTCTAAAATATTTATGTATTGTAAATGACTTTTGCTAAAGTCCCCCAGTCTGCATAAGATTCACCAGCGTGCGATTGTGTACATCATATATGCTGTTAGGCTGCACAAGTCCTCTTATATGTTCCTTTATGTTATCCAAAATAAAGGAGAACGTGATATAAAGGCAAAGATTCGTATGATGTGTCAGTGATTTCAACACAACGAAGAAAACATGACGCTACAGTGGCACTGAAAAAGACCGTAGTGATAATACTGAGAACTCAGCTTTGCCACCACAGGAATATATCTAATCTATTACTGTTTTTACAGTATTTTTCATCAAATTAATGCAGCCTTGGTAAGCATGGGGAAAAAATCGGATGCATCTGATCCGAGGCTTTATTTACACAGCAGTCTAATCACACTCACTACAGGATCAGTGGGATGGAAGATGTTGAATAGCCGCTGGCAGATGGATGTGGGCAGAATGTGGTCCTGTGTTCCGCCGCTTCCAGGACGAACCCCTCGCAAAGCCAAAAACACAGCCAGAGGAGATCCCATACAGAAGAAGTTCTCCACCTTCAAGCCCAAATCACATGCTTCAGACACAAACAGACGGTGGACAGGGACACATTTATGCTAAACAGTGTTGCCAGATCTCGCATGACAAATGAACAACCAAAGCTTCAAAAACAAGCCCAGCGTTAATAGGTTTATCATAATCAATTTTAACTATTAAGTTCTTCATTATCAATAAACCAATAAAAAAAATCAAAACCACGTTTGAGTCTGTACGTTAAAAAGCAAACATCATTTTTAACAAAAGCAAAAGAAGAAAAAAATGACACAAAACAGCCAAATATTTATAATAAAATCTAATGATCAATTATTGGCTGTAATAATTAATACATTCCCAATACATTACCAAAGTTGTGATGAAAACATACCTTGAATTTTAGGGCTGGAGATGGTCTTGAGGATGAGGTTTGGAAATTCTGAAGCCTGTCTTCCAAATCCCTTATTCTGCAAATGAATTATTACATTTTGGAACATTACACAAGCCAGATTAACAGAGGGCTTGCCACTCTGGAGTAGAGTGCACACAAAACTAAAAACCCATTAATATTACATGACCCTTGAAATGCATGGGGAACAAAAGGGCAGCACTAAAATCAATGCAACCGAATAAATGTATGATGCATTAAGAACTCACTAAAAACTATTAGAAAAAGTGATCTTTCCTATGGTGTTATTGGGCTGTTTCATTATATAGAAGCCAAGGTGTTCTGAGTGGTTATTAATATGTTTGTAGGGTTGTGTTATTTAATGTTCTGAGTGGATATTAACATGTTGAATATAGTGTTGTTTGCTAATGTGTTCCGTGTTTATGTTAGCATGTTGCTATATGGTAACTGCAGTGATCTTTGAGGTTGGTTTGTTATGGTTGTTTGCGTGGATGTTAGCATGTTGGTAGCTGCTACAGTGGTATTATAGGTTAGTTTGTTTGGGTTTTCTGTGTGGATGTTAGCAATGTTGCTACATAGCCACTGAAGTGATTTTCATGCTTAATTTGTTAGGGTTTACTGGGTGGATGATGGCATGTTGCTATGTAGCCACTACAATGGCATTAAAGGTTAGTTTGATATGGCTGTTAGCGTGAAGGTAAGCATGTTGCTATGTAGTCGCTACAGTGATATTAAAGGTTAGTTTGATATGGTTGTATGCGTAGAGGTTAGCATGTTGCTATGTAGCCGCAACAATGATATTAAAGATTAGTTTGTTTGGGTTTTCTGTATGGGTTTTGGCATGTTGCGACATAGCCGCTGAAATGATGCTAGAGCTTAATTTGTTAGGGTTTTGGGTGGATGTTAGTATGTTGCTATGTAGCTGCTACAGTGGTATTAAAGGTTAGTTTGATGTGGTTGTTCGCGGGTTGGTAAGCATGATGCTATGTAGCCGCTACTGTGGTATTTAAGGTTAGCTTGTTTGGGTTTTCTGGGTGATTGTTAGTTTGTTGCTAGGTAGCCACTGAAGTGATGTTAGAGCTTTATTTGTTAGGCTCAACAACCCTATCAATCTAATCGCTAATATGATTGTATTGGCTAAATAGCAACAGGCTAACATTAATCTAGAAAACCTTAGCAAACTACCCCTAACATATCTAGTGGCTACCTTAACAACATTCACCCTGGGGACTCTAACAGAAAACCTCTAGCATCACTGTAGTGGCTACATAACAACATGCTAACATCCACCCAGAAAACCCTCCATGATGAGAAAACAGCATATGCTGGTAAAGTATGTTTTGATGCTGGTCGTGCTGGTTTCAATGCTGGTTTTGCTGTACAGGACCAGGCCTGAGACCAGCAAAACCAGCATTGAAACCACCAAGACCATTATTTAAAGCATCAAGACAAGCATACCAGCATCAAAACATACCTTAGCTAGGGTTTTCTAGGTTAATTTTAGCCTGTTGCTATGTAGCCACTACAGTGACATTGGAGGTTAGATTGATAGGGTTGTCTGGGTGGATGTTAGCCTGTTATTTAGCCACTGATATTAGAGGTTAGTTTGTTGGGGTTTTCAGTGGATGTTAGCATGTACATTACATAGCCACTATAGTAATGTTAAAGGTTAGTTTATTATGGTTGTTTGCATGGATGTTAGCATGTTGCTGTAGCCTCTACAGTGGTATTAAATGTTCATTTGTTTGGGTTTTCTGTGTGGATTCGCATGTTGCTACATAGCCACTGAAGTGATGTTAGGGCTTATTTAGTTAGGGTTTTCTGGGTGGATGTTAGCATGTAGCTATGTGGAGTCCCTACTGAAAAAAAAAATGCTTAAACCAGCCATGGCATGTTTGCATGGAGGTTAGCATGTTTCTATGTAGCCGCTACAATAATATTAAAGGTTTGTTTGTTTGGCTTTTCTGTGTGAATGTTTCCATGTTGCTACATACCCTCTGAAGTGATATTAGAGCTTAATTTCTATGGGTTTTCAGGGTGGATGTTAGTATGTTGCTATGCAGCCACTACAGTGATGCTAGAAGTTTTTTGTTAGTCTCCAGGGTGATGTTGTTGAGGTATACCCACTTTAATATGTTAGAGGGTAGTTTGTTAGGGTTTTCTAGGTTAATGTTAGCCTGTTGCTATGTAGCCACTACAGTGATGTTGAAGGTTATATTGATAGGGTTGTTTGGGTGGATGTTAGCCTGTTGCTGTTGCTTTGTAGCCACTGATATTGGAGGTTAGTTTGTTGATGTTTTTTGGGTAAATGTTAGCATGTTGTTACATAGTCACTGTAGTAATGTTTGAGGGTAGTTTTTGGGTTAACTGTTAATGTTGCTATCCGCTTGTTAAGTGGTGACGTGTTTGTGACGTATGTAATACTCTTTCCGGGTCCAAGCCACCATTCATTTGAGTGGAGAAATCATTGGTTTATGATCACTTTTTATTCCTATCACACATTAAAGTTAATTTTACATAAAGTCATAGTGTACACAACAATCGCTGGGCTTGCTGCATAACAAATACCAAAATCTTTAAAATTTATAAAACAATGAATCACTTTCTGGCCATCGGATATTAGGCATGGACATATATATTGCGATCGTGACTTTCGAAAGTATTAAATCGCTTTGTAAACGTTTATTATTACCATTTCATGAATCTCCCCATTCAGTTGAATAGAGCGCTTGGACTCGGAAGCCGCTCTGCGTGACGTCACACTTAACAAGCGGATAGCCACTGCAGCTATAGAGTGTAGTTTGTTAAGTGGTTCTGGTTGAATGTTAGCATCTAGCTATGTAGCTGCTACAGTGATGTTTAGAGGTTTGTTTGTTCTTTGGGGTGTAAGTTAGCCTCTTTATATAGCGACTACAGTGTTGCTTGTGGTTGGTACTGTAATCCTAGTTTTTGTTCTGCATGGTTGATAGCATGTTGCTTGTTTTCTGGGACTGTTTTAACATGTAGCTGCTACAGCGTTGCTTATGGTTGCTAATGTGTTCTTTGTCAATATTAGCCTGTTGCTATTGGCTATTAATTTGTTGCTAATGTGGTCTGGGTGGATGTCAACATGTTGCTGTGCTGGTTGTAGTCTTGCTAGCTTGTTTTGCTTAGATGCTGAAATTTTATTAACTATAGGGCAACTCTCTCAACTTCAGGATCCACTTTCTTGCACAGTCTGGCTCTATTCATGATGAAACTCATATAATTTCACCTTGTAATAATCCCGAAAGCCTTAATTAGTGTACTCTGTGTGGTTGTCATTGTGTAATTTCTATAGTGTCCTGAGCAGTGGTAGTGTTTCTATGTTATTTTGAGTGGTTAACATTTTCCTTAGCTAAATCAACGCTGCATCCATCTGCAAATACTGTGTGCAACATGATTTTCTACTTGTGAATAGCATTTAGCAGTCATCGTGTGTATCCTGTACTTATGTAGACTGAATTAATGATTGGCTAAATGTTCTGAATCAACTTTAAATGGTTTAACAATTACATAAATGCTACTTTTATTTTTTATTTATATTGCAAAAACAGACAATAAACTAGAGTGGAACATTCAATTACCATATTGGACTGTGTGTGTACCTTAAGTAAGTGAGCCGAAGCTCTTCAAGCAACTGACGCTCTTGTCTGCTCACATCAGCCTCCATCACATCTGGCACATCTTCATGAACAAAGCGGACAGGATCCCAGCCTGTCATGATGTCGAAGGTGATGACACAGCCGAGCGAGTGCGAGACGATGGACACTTTTCCTTTCTCTGCAAATTCTGGGTTGCGCTCGCAAAAGAGCATGTAGAGGCGGTTCAACTCTTTGGTCAGACCCCGGGTGATCTGAGAATGCAAGTGCAGTGAGTGTGAAATTAACAAGTATGACATTTCAACTGTGTACAAGAAAATGTGGAACTGAGTGAGAGTTTTTGTTTGTGTGGGATATTTAGGTTTTAAACACAAGAAAGGGAGAGGTGCTCTGCTCTGAAACCTAGTCAGCTGCAATGCTAACTATACTGCCTACATGTGCATATGATTAATAAATTAGCTTAAATTACAAAATGAAACCTATTAAGTGGAACACTTATCATAACAAATAAAAACAGTAATAGTAGCATGTATAAATAACATTAGCCTGCAGCTAGCTCTCTGCAACTCTCACATGGTCTCCCACTGAAGCAGGGCTGTGCCTGGTCGGTACTGCAAGGGAAAGCTAGGCTGCTGTTGGAAGTGATGTTATTGAGACCAGCAGGGGGTGCTCAACTTGTGGTCTGTGTGGGTCCTAAAGGCTGACTGTGCGCGTACCTCTCTAAACAGATGAGTCTTTTTTGAGTTGATGCGTTCACTGTAGTGATATTCGTTAAAACGACAGGGGGCGGTCAAAAGGAACCCACCATAAAATCAGACAGATAAACAGAGAAGGAGAAAGTTTCCGAAACTAAGTCATAGTATTAATTTTAAACTAATTATTTTTATTATTTGTATAATTTACTTTGATGATCTTAAAGATTTTTATGACCATTAAAGATTTTTTATATCAAACTTTGATGCATCAGTTGCTTTTGTTTATATCTCAGACAGTCCTACCTATTAAAGTTAAATATCAATGACAACAGAACATGGGTTGCTCTACATATGCTATATATATATATATATATATATATATATATATATATATATATATATATATATATATATATATATATTTTTTTTTTTTTTTTTTTTTTATGGCAAGAATAAAAGCCAAAAAAAAGTACACTTACTAAAACATACTGACGTTTTCTTCTCTTTTTTTTGGTAATATAGACTTAACCCACTCCATAATTCACACGCTACTGTCTGGCTAGTGGGTGTCCTCTGATTACATGCCAAGGCAATAATGGTCCAACATTTCTAATCATTATCAACAATAAAGCCTAGAAAAATAGGGCATGGTTATATTGTAAGCTGATAGGTTCAAATATTCTTTTCCAGTTATAAAAGAAATAATTTGTTCCTTCATTTTAGTTTTGTAATTATTAAATTTGTTTTAAATTCAAAATTGTAATATATACATCAGTGTAAAACCTATAAATGGTGAAAAAACATATTCTTTTATTATGTATTAAAATCAGCTGGGTCTCCACTTTTGCCATGGCTTCTCTTTTTGATTTTTACAAACTTGTCCCAAGTGTCCTCCTTTCCCACTGTTGTTGCAATTTCTAGCGTAGATTATTGGCCATCTGGTTATTCCTATGATTATGCAATGACAGATCATAAACATGTCTGTACAGGCGAACCTGTTTTAGACAAAATCTCTTCAAAGTGTTTCATAGTCAACTCAAACGAAATGCGGCATCACATGAACTGTTCGTTCGAGCCTCACAAAATTTGGTTTCACATTGACAGCGTGCACTCAAATGAACTAGCGAACGCGTCGAGTATAAATCAGGCTTAACACCCAAGTATGGAAGGGGTCTCTATACTGCTCAGAGAATGCTGTCTATCGGATGAGAAGTTAAAACCTCTCTGTGGTTGTGAAAAATCCCAGGATATCCTTAGAAAAAGAGTAGGGGTATTAACCATGGCATCCTGGCCAAATTTGCCCACTGGTCTCTGTCCATCATGGCCTCCCAACCATCCCCATATTATAATCACTATAAAATAGTCTCCTTTCCACCAATCAGCTGGTGTGTGGAGTGCAGACTGGCACAACATGGTTGCTGTCGAGTCATCCAGGTGGATGGATGAAATTCCACCCAAAAATGTGTGAAGCGCTTTGAGTGTCCAGAAAAGGACTATATAAATGTAAGGAATTAATGTTGTTATTACAATTTTAATAATATCGGGCTATATGTATATTAAAATATAAAATATATAAATATATAAAATTACCTATGTATTTGGAGTCTATTACATCCATCATCCCTCTGTTATTTTAATATGCAAGTCTATGCTAAAAAAACAACCATGGCAGTGGGTGTTTACTGGCAAGTCTTTAAGCAGGAATGTCTAATAAAATGGTCTGTTCAAGTGAGAGGGTCAAATACAGAACATGAACACGACAATCAGGTGTCCAAAAACATTACATTTAATTCACACTGAATATCTCTTTAATAAATACTCCTCTTAGAAATATGCTTGATTGTACTGGGGTTTTTTTTTTTTCTCATGGGAGTTCCTTCTTTAAAAATATTGCACAAGATGCTGGCTAAGTATTTTAGCAGGCAGCAGAAGTATGCATAATTTAAAAGCCGCATTTGCAACAGCATCATGGTTCCTATGATTTAAAAGCATTTGTCTGTGTACAAGATTTTCAAAAAGAGAAAAAAACAGATAAATACAAATGTGTACAAATGTACCTCATCCCTGTACAAAGGGCTTGTGTAGTACATAATGTCCATTGCGCTGCTGTTCAGCATATCTCTCAGACCTCGCACTTTGTCTGGAGTAATGGAGTCCACAGTGTCTGAAAAAAACAATCATAAATATCAAATCCAACCCTGTCTATCAAGCATAAAGTACTTTATGTGTTTTTTATCATTGTCTACCAAAAATACCTCCATCGAGGGCGAGTTTAGACCGCCATTCCACAGGAAGGAACTCGACATGTTCATTAATTCGGTCAGAGAAGTGCTTCTCCTCCATCTTACGGGCAGCATCCCGCATCCTAATCATCAATGAAAAGTTAGTTTCTAAACTTTTTTTAATACACTCAGTGGTGTGATTTTGTGGACTCACATGCTTGTATTTCTAATGATACGCCCCTGATCCATCTTTTGGCCAATTCCATGTACCACAAAGACTATGTGTGTAGTTTCAGGGGGCGTGTCCTCTAGAGCCGCCTCCTCTACGTAACCCCGGTGGAGACGCGTCCCACTGCTGGAGGCTAAGGAAACAGGAAGGAAGAAACTTCGGTAATTTAATAACCACCGTCTTTTATAACAATTTTCGAATGTTTCCCAGGTGATGAACGATAAAAAACATTGACAGCCAATCAGAAAATGCTATAAATAGACAACACCTGCAGCACATGCTTATTAAAACATTGTAATGTTATTAGCATCAAACCAAAGCATAATAGTTACATTTATAGTCACCGTTCTTGGTGTGAATGAGCCATTCGATTAATGAACATCAAGTACATAGCGTTGGATCCACGTCTATTTATTATAAAATCATCTGAATGCTAATACTCTTCTAAAAGTGCTTTAAAGTCCACATGAACTGAAAGCTGCAAATGTTTATGTATTATGATGCAGTTCCTAGAGAAACTAAATATTAAATGAGAAAACAGTGGGTGTGGCTTATTTTTTCTACTGCGAGCTGATTGGATGTAGTCAAGTATTTCATTCAAAAAGATCAGGAAAATGGTCTCGGAAACGTTATTACAATCTAACAGACTCTTCCTCACCATTTGGGCTTTTTTGTTTTAGCGCTGTCAAAACGGGCACCTTATCTTGACATAACGTGATGTTATGGAGCCATGTTAAAACTATGTTATCAGTACATCAGTTATAAACATCTACACCTACACCAACCCTAAACCCAACCATCAGTTAGTAACAACTACACTTTCCCTAAACCTAAACCCAACCATCACAGCTATTAATGTCTACACCTTCCCTAAACCTAAACCAAACCATCAGTTAGTAACATCTACACTTTCCCTAAACCTAAACCCAACCATCACAGCTATAATGTCTACACCTTCCCTAAACCTAAACCCAACCATCACAGTTATTAAGGTCTACACCTTACCTAAACCCAATCATCACAGTTATAACGTCTACATCTTACCTAAACTACACCATCACAGTTATTAACGTCTAAACGAGGGCTATTTAATTGGCGACCCGCGGGCCGAACCCGGCCCCCGAGCCAACTTGTTCCGGCCCTCCAAATAGTTAGACCAAGACATCAACAATAAATTTAGTTCTGTCGAAAAACTGAAAAAAAGCTAATCTTCGCTGATTGGACCGATGACAGCCTGTTGCAATTGGTCGACAGCGTTCAACGCGAGACAGTAAAATGCCCAGCGCGGTTTATCAAGCCCCTGGGTCGCCAACATTGGTATTGGATCCGATCGCAGCACGAAACACGCTTCATAGTAAACCTACTAATACCACATTAAACAGTACCCGGTTCTCAACAGTGTTATTTAGACACCTCACACCCGAAAGCAGTGAAACTAAACACCAGCATATTGCTCTATTTTTAAATGATACACAATCAGTATTAATCCACACAGTGGCAAAAGCTGAACTATTCTGAACCTTGACCACTGCGCGTGGGTAAGAACAGCTGACGGTGGCCAAAGCAACGGCAAACGGCAGTGGAACACAAGTTCACAAACGCATTTTAAATCCGTACACAAAGCGACAAGCGTCGCCTTTTCAATGTATAATTAGACGCGATATGAGAATATAAAGAGTTAACCTGATACAGTGCAAGCGGTTACAAGTAACAAAACACAATTAAATACATCATTTGCAAGCTAAAGAAAACAAGCAGGCAACCACTTACTTACACTTATGAAGTGTGTCAATGGGCCAGATCTGATTTCCTTAATTATCTTTCATATTGGAGCTTTTCTCCCTTCTCAGCTGTAGATCATTTCTATTTGCAATCATTGCTGTGGCACCTCTTGCGTGAAGTGTTGTATGTTCTCAGGGCTTACCTGTACTCTACTATGTCCAGAGATCAAATCCCCAGCCAGGGGGTTGTAACGCTCACCAGTGCTTCTCCTCAGCATGCAACAGCCTGCCTTTGTTCGACTGTGTGCCTAATAAACTGGCCTTATTTTGCACGCATCCCTGGTGTATTGTCTGTCCATTACAAAATGGAGGAAGAAACTAATCCATGAGCCGTGTACTGAAGTTCCTGTCGAGCTCTGTTAAAGTTTCATACATCAGTAGTCTGATCCTTCCTTAAACAAACGAAAGAGTTGCCCATTGTCTCGCCCCCCTCACACTTCCAATAATATCCAGGTAAGCATCTTCATGACTCAAGACTTCAGGATCTGTCTTTGCTGCTGTGTTTGTGGGCGGGGCCGCAGGTTTAAATTTTCCCAGGTTTATGCTAGCAACAATTGGGCGGGGCTTATGTTTCGTAGCCACGTCACTCCGAAACGCCTAATAACTCGCTAACAAGACGATTCATTTTAACCACATTAGTTTTAAAAACTGTCCACTTTCAGATTTAAGCCTTAGCTGGATATTTCACTTCACTTAGCGCTATGTTACACACTACATGGAAGGTCAATTTCAAAAACCCATTATAGGGGCTCTTTAAAGAAAAGAAATTCAATTTTTGTAATCTTTTGAAATAACAAGTTTTATATGTGTAAAATCCAAACATGAACTTGTATATTAAATATGTGATTTGCATTATTTTAGATTTGATGTGTTCTATTAATTAGCAACACGTGAGAGTATTTACTAATCAAATGTTTAACAAACCTTTTGAGAATCCCAGCTTCTGAGTGACCGTCCGTGCAATCTTAGAGGTGGTGGCGTCGCTGTAAAGGTACACTTCATCCACACTGTGCCAGTCCACGTGGCTCCGGCTCAGTTTCAGACTGTGAATGGCTGAGTGAATTAAGGGCACAAGTCAAACAGGTCTGTTTCAAATTACCTCCTGTTAAGTAAACTTCATGTCTGAATAGATTAGATCATTCCAATTAGGGTCTTTTTTAAACATTTGCAAAAACAGCTGACAGCTGATACCCCATCAGTAATAAACGTCCCACCGGTGTTTGACTTGTGTCACATGAAACAAACAGGAAGTCTGGTTTGTGGCTTATTTAACTAAGCGACTGTCTCTGAGTGAGCTGAACTAAGCGTCAATGTTAAGTCGTTCTTTTTGTGTGCTTGACCCCTAGCACAAAGCTTACCCTAAACCCTAAACACTAGTCATGGCAGGGTCTGTTACCGTCTTTGCTGTCCACTGTGGTGGCCACTGCTTCCGTGTCAAAGGTGTCCTTCATCTGCTGGCCCCGGAAACAGGCTAAGTGCTCCAGTTCAATAAGGTCACTGTCCTCCTCCTCCAAGGGCAACCAGGTGCCGTCTGTGAACCACTGGCCTCTCATGACTGGGATGTGGTCCTGTTCTGTAAAGCGGAGTGGTTTGAATTGTTATCTATTTCTAAAGTATGACTATATCTAACATCATACAATGGCAATGCTATATAAGGATCAGGGTGGACCAGTTAAGTCACAGTCCCTTTTTGCACTTTTCGCCACATAGACTTCCATTCATATGCATGCGTATGTGGCAAACTGTAAACATAAGCTCATGCGACAAGTTTCCCTTGTCGCTGTATTTTAAAGTTAAAGCTTGGTGATTACTGATCTGCGAAATCGAATCACATGATAGCGTGAGACCAATAAAAGATCAAAGCTCTGTACAGAAATTTAAAATATGGAGCAATTGCATGCTTTTTTAATGTCTAATTACTATAATTTTCCCGCCCCTTTTCGCAGTGACGTACGACAGAATTTTGCATGCGCAAGCTCTAGTGTGGCTGCAGCTTTAGACTGACAGCTAATTCACCCAATCAAATTACGCAAATCCTGCATAGTAAAGATGTAAAGAATAAGTAAGAAGAGACTGGTGGATGATTGGATAGTGGATTGATTTTTCTATTGTTGTTATTCAGTTCTATGGATGATTGGATGGTGGACTGATTTTTCTGTTGTGTTCTTCAGCTCTATGGTGAATAGTTAGCGATTACAATTCTAAATATGAATGAGTATTAATAGAATATAAAACACTTTTCAAAATCTAAAGATTACAGGCCCAACTTAACATTTTGCTAAATATAATTCAAGGCTATAATACCGTAATATGTCATACCGCAGTATCTAAAAATAGCAACGGTATTAGTTTCAAAACTGGTATTCCATCATAAAAACAATGCACCTATATAGGAGACAAGGAATAAATATTCAATATAATTTATTTAATGGCTAAAGATGCGCATGTGTGGTCGTCATCACGAGACAGCGTGGAGGAGAAAGAGAGAGTTGGGAAAAAATGGTAAGCTGTGGACCAAGTGACAACGCTGCGTATGCACAAAAAACTTTGCGTACGCCAGGTTTCACGCTCAGAATCGCTCACGTTTGGATTTACTAACAATGAACTGAACATGGGAATGTGCGCAGCTTCACAGCAGCTTTCAGGCAGGCGTACGCACATTTTTTGTGTGCGTCTGTTTTATTTCCATTGGTGACTCCTAGAGGCAGTTGTGTTAAATTCCTCTCTACAAAGTGTCTGAGCCTTGCAATGGCCCCCCTGGGGCCTCATGTATGAAGACTTGCGTGGAAATCTTACTAAAACATTGCGTACGCACAAAGCTGTAAATGTGCGTACGCAGAAAAAAATTCAGATGTATGAAACACTGCGTACGCCGAATCTCACGCATATTCTTTTGTACATCTGAATGAACGTGAAACTGAGCGCAACATGCACGAGCACAAATCCCCTCCCTGCCTCCTCCCCCGTATGAATATGCTAATGACTATGCTAATGGCAAAACCCAACGAAAAAGCAATGTCAAAAGCAAGCAAAAAGAGAAACTTTGAACAGAATGTGAATTGGAGGTGCTGCTTTCGGAGGTAGACCGGAGAAAAGCTGTGTTATTTGCAAGTTTGTTCTCCGGAATTAACAACAAAAGAAAAAAATAGAGTGGGAGAGTTTAGCTGATACGGTTAACACAGTTGGGTCTGAACATCGCACTGAGTGCATTAAAAAAATAAATAGTGTGGTTTATATCTGTAAAATGTTGCAAGACACTTAACAGTCTCAGTGGCGCTACTCGTAAGACGCATGTGATCATGAATTGATACGTTCGAGCATGAACTCGGCTGGAATCCAGCGTCTGATGAACTCTTTCTTGTTTTTTCCCCCGCTACATATCAGATTTTGCCCACTATTTATCACGAGAAAGACAAGTAGAAATCATCAATAAGTTCATATCAATAAGCATCATATTTTATTTGCACATTTATTGAATAGAAATGTTTCTGATTCACGCATGCAAATTCATCTTCAGATAGTGTCTTTATAGCAATGTGCGTGCGGTAGATCGCTCAGATTACATTGGGAAAACAGGCGACTGCTGCAAATTGTGCTTTAATGTTTAGCTGGTCAAATGTATGGTATAGAAACTTTATATACCTGCTGAACCCGTCTCATACAGCTGCCATTGCAAGGCTCAGACACTTTGTAGAGAGGAATTTAACACAACTGCCTCTAGGAGTCGCCAATGGAAATAAAACAGACACGCACAAAAAATGTGCGTACGCCTGCCAGAAAGCTGCCGTGAAGCTGCGCACATTCCCACGTTCAGTTCATTGTTAGTAAATCCAAACGTGAGCGATTCTGAGCGTGAAACCTGGCGTACGCAAAGTTTTTGTGCGTACGCAGCGTTGATACATGAGGCCCCTGGTCTCGAAAAAAACAACTTCTGCAATTTGGCAGTACTTCAGGTTTCGACCAAACGAGAAGGGAGAAATATAGATGATTTTTTCAATTTTATAAATTTTGCAACAAAAAGGTGACCGCGAGAGATGGAAATACCTCAAACCTAAAGTTGCATACACGAAACTACCATCCACTAACTGATACGAGAAAGGACCCGAGTTCACTCAGACCAACAACATCTAAGTCCAGTACGCAGCCAATGGTAATTGGGGCCTTCGGTAAAACAACAAAGTTCAAAAGGGACAGTGTCAGTTGGAAAACCTGTACTGATGTAATGACAAAAAGTCCTTTAAGGACATGGTAAAATACAATTGATTTGTGTGCACGAAAACTGTTCTATTCAATGCTGTTTAACTGTTATATTTCCCCTTTTTTATAAACTTCTATTTGTTGCTAAAAAAAAGTTGTTAATATGGTTGTGCATGTTATTTTGTTTTTGTTTCAGTATTAGAGTTCGGTATTCAGTTTCTGAACCGTTTAGGCACAAGCCAACAGTTTGGTGATGCTGTCTGAGTCTTATGTAATAATTTTTTTTATTATTCAGGGTAATACCATATATTGAGGTACAATAGGGAGAAGGTTTGACGTATCAAAATTTGGATAGCGCCCAAGCCTAGTGTGTTTTTATTTAAAGTGTGTGCTGTGCACTATTGAGAATACTGAACTGAAGCTTAAACTCATTTATTCATTCATTTTATTTTCTTAATTAATCAGGGGTCACAACAGCGGAATGAACCGCTAACTTATCCAGCATATGTTTTACGCAGTGGATGTCCTTTTTAGCCACAACCCAGCACTGGGAAACACCCATACACTCTTGCATTCACACACATACACTACAGCCAATTTAGCTTATTCAATTCACCTCTACAGCATGTCTTTGGACTTGTGGGGGAAACCGGAGCTCCCAGAGGAAACCCACGTGAACATGGGGAGAACATGCAAACTCTATACAGAAATGCCAACTGACCCAGCCGAGGCTCAAACCAGCGACTTTCTTGCTGTGAGGCGACAGCACCACTGTGTTGCCCCTAGCTTAAATTCACAACATTACAAATCAAATCACAATATCAGTTGGGAAAATCTAACATGGCAATATTTTGTTAATTAGCTGAAAGTGCATCCCCTGCTTAAAACCAAAGTCCTTTTAAGGCAAGTGATTTCACTCTGCGGCCATCTTTGAAACACCTCTTGGGCAGTATGCTCGGGCATTTTGTCTTAATGGGGAAACATCAAATTCTTCAAAACTGCTTGCCAAGCTTACCATTGAATTTCATATTATGAATCACCAATAAAATTAAACATCAGCTGTGTCTTTATTTTCATTTCTAAACATCCAAATCACACAAAATCTGCAGAAACTCACGTCTCGTCCGAGCCCCTCCCACTGAGCATTGTCAGTCTATAGTGATGGATGATTGGCTCTTGTACTAGAAGGCAGACTTTATTCGCCATTAGGCGATTGATGATTGCCTCCTGTACTAGTAGGCAAGGCTTTATTTGCCATGTAGACTGTTACACTTTTCCCCATTCACCAAGATTTGAGTGACATGTCTTTTGTATTCTATAGTCTGCTGGATAAATTGGCAAAAGAAAAATGAATGAATGAATATCTATTTGGAAAGAATATATAATTGTTGGGATTGTGATGATTCTGTAAGTGTGTGCATATGCCTAAAACCTAATAAACTAATTAAAAGCAGATAAATACAATAAAGACAAGTTACATTTGAAATAAGCAGTGTTTTTTCCTTTTTCTGAGTCTAACAGTATACAGGCACAGTAACTAAATAATAAAAAAAAAACAATAAAATAAAATTAACGATTATTTGCGTTACTAACAGTACAATTTCTTATGCCTGAATGCTTTGAAAATGCTCATAGTCGCAGGCCTCAAAATCACATCATGCAAATGATACATGTAATTAATACAGACTCAACATTGCATATCCTGCGATGTGACTATTATCGATGACGAATATATGTGACGAATAATCACATTGCAATTTCAATGCTGAAACAATATATTGTGCTGCCCTAAATCACACAAAACTTTCAGATAGGCTGCCTTATTTTGTGAAAAACAACGAAAGCATGGATCCCTGTGAGGTAGTTTTCCAAGCGCAAGTTTAACAATACCTTAAATAATAAGATCGAATGTACCCACTGTATTAAAATAGATTAAAAAGAAAACAACCAAAGTACATGAAATATAAACATAAACCAATCAAAATGTAGAAATCAATGCTTATCTTGTTTGTTACAAAATTGCACAAAGCTGCAAATTTTATCTGTTGTTAGTTCATTCTCAGATAAAAAAAGAAGGTCATTTGAACAAAACTGTAATAATATTGATAACTGTCGTCATTTTCATGTGAAACTTTCATATCTATCTCTATTTTGTTCTATGGTAAAGTACTATGGTAAAAGATAAAAAATCTGCAAGACCTTAAAAACAGCTTTGATTGGTGTTGTTCATACGTCACCATATTTGAGATCCAGTTTCTATCTGTTGAACTTCTCACCATTTTTAAACGATGACAAAAATCACAGCATCATAGATTTCCTGTAGGTTTAAATAAGCAGCCTGCAATCACACTCTATGAGGATTATCTCAAGATCTGTCTTAATTTGTGTGTGGGCTTGTTTGAACTTGTCGAGAACATCTGCTATTAAATCTACTATGGTTCTTTGAATGTTACTAATGTATTTTTTTTCTGCCGTATTTATACTATTTTGGGCTAGTTTCTTTTTAATCATTTAACGCAGTGGTTAGCACTGTCACCTCACAGCAAGAAGGTCACTGGTTTTAGCTCTGGCTGGACCACTTGGTGTTTCTGTGTGGAGTTTGAATGTTCTTCCGTCTTGGCGTGGGTTTCCTCTGGAGGCTCTGGTTTCCTTACAGTCCAAATACATGCAGGATAAGTGAATTGGATGAAGTAAATTGGCCATAGTGTATGAGTGTGTTTGTGAATTTGAGAGTATATGGGTGTTTTCCAGTACTGGGTTGCAGCTGGAAGGGTGTCCACTGCGTAAAACATATGCTGGAAAAGTTGGTGGTTCATTCCGCTGTGGCAACCCCTGATGGGTCTGGGACTAGGCTGAAGGAAAATGAATAAATAGTTTTACTGCCTTTTTAAACTTTACTGTTGTTTTTTTGACAGTGAAGCTGTTATGAAAGACAAATTAAAGGAACACTCCATTTCTTATAAAAATAGCCTCATTCAGCCTCCTAGAGGTAAGTTTGAGTTTTACCATCTTTGAATACATTCAGCCAATCTCCCGATCCGATGGGAACACTTTTAGCTTAGCTTAGCATAAATCATTGAATTGGATTAGACCATTAGCATCTCAAAAAGTCACACTTTAAATAGTTAAATTCATTTATTAATTTTCCTTCGGCTTAGACCTTTTAATTATCAGGGGTCGCCACAGCAGAATGAACCGCCAACTTATCCAACTTGTGTTTTACACAGTGGATGCCCTTCCAGCTGCAACCTAGTACTGGGAAACACCTATACACACTCATACACTAGGTCCAATTTAGTTTACTTAATTCACCTGTACCGCATGTCTTTGGACTGAGGGGGAAACCGGAGCACCTGGAAGAAACCCAAACAATAACAGGGAGAATATGCAATCTCCACACAGAAATGCCAACTGACCCAGCCAGGACTCAAATCAGTGACCTTCTTGCTGTGTCACTGAGCCACCGTGTTGCCTAATATTAAATTATCAACCTTTTTTTTTTTTTTTAGCAAGATGGTATGGTTTAATCTAATAAAATCATTCAATGAAATGACTTGGCTGTAAGTTATTGTGCTACATACATGAGCAATATCACATGAGTAGTAGTGCGATATGGCTGTATATCGGCACTGGTGGAAGGCGTGCGTTGCCTTAGTGCCCCCACCAGTGCCGATATACAGCCATATCGCACTGCTACGAGTGTGATATTGCATTTATACAACAGTTTGACGGCATAATTGTGTATATAAAAACTAAATCAAACATAGAGAGTCTCAAAAACCCTTTTGTATGAGGAACTACTTTCTTCCCCCTTGGATTCAAATCATAAGTTGACAGTTAAACACCTTTAAAACAGTTAAAAGCATCTTTTAAACTTTAGATCTGTAGTGTCTGCTTTTTGCTGGGTGTATGTGGGCAGAGTAATACACAAAGGGTAAAGAGGCTGTAGGAGTTCTGTTATTGCAGAGTATCGCGAGGCTATCAGTCAATCAGATTCGAGAACCAGACAGAACTGTTGTATAAAGTATAATAATGCACTATTGATAACAGACAAGGGACTTTTGCCTTGAAATGTAGCTAATGCTCTGTCTGGAGAGTTTTCAGTATTCTTTCTCAACACAGATCCTTGAAGTGAACTTTTGCCTGTAAGATGATTAGATTCACTATCTTGGACTTTAAACACAAACTCACAAAAGTGTGAGACATGAGGACAGAATGATGCATCTGATGCGCAATGACCGTCAGCTCTGAATCGTGGCTATAAGCCTCCGCTAATATTGGCAGGAATGACTGTACACTTCACAGTTCACACAGTCTGCATTTTTGTCTTACGGTTAATTGTAAATTCTGTCATGGTAATATCTTAACGGATACAAACACTTTGAGTGTAGTAATCTCTGTGAATATTACAGGGAAAGAACTGCATTGTCTGTTGTCAACTGTGATGTTTGCAGCACTGCTCACACACTAGTCTAAACTGTGCAGCTTTCTGTTGAGGATTTGTGACCAACTTGAACGTGTTGCAGAATCTGTGAGGGGAAATTCCAGATCAACTGACTAAAATCTGCCTCACAGAGCATCTCTAAATATGATCACAATTTTGAAAGGAGTACAAAATTAAAATTCTACGAATGTGCCTTATTAAAAACACAAAAGGAGGATGTTAAGATATCAATATAATCACAATATAAGTGACCAATAAAACAACAATGCAGTCAAATTACCTTTGATTAAGGAACAGACTAATGTATAATGTTATTCAATTAAACCAATAGTACTGATGTCAAATCGGATTCAAACCATCTTTAAGAGATTTAAGGATCACAACAGAGATTTGTGCCATTAAATTACAATTGTTAACCAATCAAAATATCGTTTTCCAGAATAACTATAAATCACACTAGTTAGGTAGCCTACTTTTATATCACTTTTTTTGACCTGCATTTTCACTGTACGGTTAAGAGCTGTATAAACATTCTGCGAAATAACTCTTTTTGTTAGCCAATGTCATGGTTTGGATGATGGCATCATGCCTGTTCTCTTTAAAGTAAGCTTGTAAAGAAACTCACGGTTCCAGTACACAGGATAGCAGCTCTTTCCCTTGATGTCCACCTCGTAGAGTCCTCCACGCACACACACTGCGTCCACGTTGACGCTGTCTGACCTGAACACTGAATCGTCCGTTGAGCATCCCGCATCCGCGCTGTCGGGTACCGGCTGAGCTGCCACCGCCGCCGACTGCCTCCGAACCGCCGGTTCCTCGCATCCTGAAGGAGACTCGAATAAATCCTCCGCTTCTTCCGTCGCATCCCTCCGTTTGACCTCTTCCGGATTAAGTTCGCAGTATTTACGATACGCCAGCTCGATTTTTAAGGAATCGTGGCCAACGAACGGTTTCCAGGTCCTCTTGTCCTCCTTGTAAAACCAGCGCACCTCCTCGGGTCCGAGTTCCGTGACAACTTCCCCGCGGTGGCGCGAGCTGTTGGAGCGGTTGCGCTTTTTCGTGGCGACGTTCCCGTCACTTTCGCTGTAATTCGGGTCGCCGGGGATGTCGAGATAATCAGTGTCCGGATCAGAGCCGAGATGGCTATGATAGCCAGCGAAACCCTCCTCCACCAGGCCTAGCATCAGCTGGCGCTGGCCTGGGGGAAGCGGCAGATGTCCGTCCAATGTTATGCCCGGCTGCACCGCGTCCATCCCGCCGTGAATCGCGTCGCCCGTGGGGTCGTTAAAGCAGGACGCGCAACCATCATCCATCCTTCCCCATTCACTACCGCTGACATTTTCTCTGCTTTCGGAGCAACTCAAAGACGATTTGTCCTGACAAGCGCTCATTACTGTCGCCGCTTTCTAGAAAACAGCAAACAGAGCGGTTTCAGCACCGGTCAGCTGATTATAATAACAACAAATCTAACGGTGTCAAAACCTCTCCTTCCCCCGGCGCCACTAAAGCGGCCAGCATCTGTCCGGAGGCGTCAATCACACACGCTGGACTTGAACTCCATGAATTACTAGCAGATATCACTCGGGCAGTCCTCAAGTTATAGAGCAGACACGCCAACCTGTTCACTTTTCATTTATATGCCGACTGTATTTCTCCCCGTGGAGCCCCTCTGCTCTACAGCGACGTCCAATTCAAAAATGAATCTTTATGTTGAGTCGAATCTTTTTAACGGGTCCAAAAAATAGTTTGAACGAGTTGTCCTGAAATGAATCTGTCCGAACTCGATACCATACTAAACCATACTCGAATCTCAACAGTCGAGGAGGACCTTGGTTTAAAATACATTATAGTATGATTATTTTTTAATTGAAGTAAACATTTGACATGACTGTAACGAATGTATGACGTTGTTTGATGCAAATGCAACTTAATGCAACCTTCATATTTTTAAACACAATAGCTACAAGCATATTCTTATTCTTATTATTCTTATTATTATTAATTATTATTATTATTATTATTAGTGTAATAATAGTAATAATTAATTATTATTATTGTTCTTCTTCTTCTTCTTCTTCTTCTTATTATTATTATTATTATTATTACAGTATTATTATAATTATTACTACTACTACAGTATTATTATTATTATTATTATTATTACTATAATAATAGTATTATCATTACAGTTTATATCATTAATATTATCACTGTATTATTATTATTGCATTATTATTATTATTATGAGTAGTAGTAGTATTATTACTATAATGACAGTATTATTATTATTATTATTAATAATATTATTATTACTATTATTATTATTATTATTATTATTATTATTATTATTATTAGTATTATTACAATCTCTGTCTAGGTTGCTTCTCTGTGGTTGCTTCCTGTGATAAATTTCATAAAACCCCCTTGCATTTATTAGCCACAATGTGGTATTAAATGCAGTATGAACATGTTTGTGAAAGTTTTTGAAATTTGGCTTAAATGAATACTAAGAAAAAAAAATATATATATATATATATATATATATATATATATATATGTACACATGTAAAATAAAACAAATCATTACATATCATTAACAACAACAATAATAATAATAATAATTGTTGTAAACATTTAAAAATGTCCACATGGTGAAGCACATTGAAACTAAACCGTCTTTGATCCGGATCGTTAAAAGGATCTGTTCAAAAGAACCGATTCGCGGAAATGAATCATACTTCCCTCCGCTATCTTGCTGTAACGCTCCTCCCTGTGCGTGACGGTTTGTCATGTGCGGATTTGTTCCTCTGAGTTTCCGTAGCGGCTGTCACAACCGGAAGTTTACGTTGGTGATTCCTGCAGGGTGACAGACAGACGCAAAGCTAGACAAGACTCAAGGCAACCGCGGTTTAATAAAAAAAGCAGTATTTATTCGCACTGTATTAATGTAACATTTTAAGCATGGCCGCGGAGTTTTTAGTGATGTTGTATGAATACTCTCCTCTCTTTTACATTGCTGTTATATCATTGTGTTTCATCATCACTGTGGCGGTTGTGTTGGGCTGGTAAGTTCATATTTTTAGCTTTAAATATTATGATATTAATCCAATGTGAGATAATTTAGTTAAGTTTAGAGGGTTTATAGAGATGGACAATGTCTGATTCCACTTTATTTTACAGTAGGTGTCCCTAACGTGTACTTATAGTGTACTCACCTGTGTTATTACACACTCTACCTACAGCTATTACACGCTTTATATAATGACTTTGATTAATATGTAGACGTGAAACAGGTCTTCAAAATTAAGGGTCTAAATAATATCTTATCAGGTTGAATCTCCAGTTAGTTCCCTCTTGAAAGCAGAAGTTGACATTACATCCTTAAAGGGATAGTTCACCCAAAAGTAACATTTACTCACTATGTACTCACCCTCAAGTGCTTATAAACCTTTTTGAGTTTGTTTAATTTGTTGAACACTAAAGAAGATATTATGAAGAAAGCTAAGAATGTCTAACCATTATAGGAAAAGCAAATACTATAGTATACAACAGTTGCAGGTTTCCAGCATTCTTCAAATCATCTTCTTTTGTGTTCAACAGAAGAAAGAAACAAGTTTTGAAAAAGTGAAATGTGAGTAAATGATGATGAATTTCAGTTTCTGCGTGAACTCTCCCTTTAATCTCTGTCTGACTAACTTTAGTTTCTCCTGTCAAGGTTTGGGTTTGATGTTCCAGTCATTTTGCGCAGTTCAGATGAGTCTGAATCTGTCATTCCTGTGCCTGAGAGGAAGATGGTGCAGGTGATCAATCCCTTCGCCTTGGAGGTCAACTCTACTTCTGCTTCAGTAACCGGTAAGAATCAGCAAATGTTTAAATTATTTAAAATAAGTTAAATGTTTCCATGTTGCCATGAACCAAGTAGTTTTTTTTTTTAAACCAAAATTATGTTGGTGTATACTGTAAAAATATCTATGTCAGTGATTTAAAACCATTTTATTTAAATTAACAGTCACACAAGTGCCATAAATGCAAAAAAATGTTAATTAAGAAATCTAAATGTTTTTTTATTTTTCTATTGAGAGCCAACTTTTATATTTTTTAATTGGATTAGACCTATTTATTTTGGGTTGTGCAGTTTAATTCAGAGAATTACTACAAAATATGTTGGATACTCTAAATTCGCTATTTTTTTCCAATCAATAACACATTTATTTCCATTGATTAAAATATAAATCATACACTGTGTTATACTGTTATTCAAATACTGTTAACATATATGTTCTCTGTGATGTTTCAAGTTTTAACTGCAAATGTCACCTCCATAACGCTGAAATTGCTCATGTCTTTCCTCAGAGGGTGTGAGTTTGCTGCCATGCTGTCTTGAAGACTGTGTCCTGAGCTGTTTCTGGGGCTGTGGAGTCCAGGCTCTTCAGACGGCCCTTCAGAGTCACCAGCTTGAACTACGGTTCCACACTGCAGAACTGTTTCAAGAGGCTCTGGGGTCGAGTTGCCGTCACCACCAAACATTCAAGTATCCTTTTTACTTAGAATTAGGTCATTTTCTGCAATATTAATGTACAAATGAAATGTGTTTATTCTGACCTTTCCTGAAAATGTATATAATGTATAGTCGGGGGAAATAAGTATTAAACATGTCATGTTTTTTTTTTTTTTATAATTATATTTCTAAAGGAACTGTTGACATTGTATAAAACCAGATTTTGGTAAAAAAACCCGAACAATACAAACAAAAAGAAAAAATCTGAAAAATAAGTTATGTGTAATAACAATGGAGTAGCACAACTTAAAGACGCCTCTCATATGGAGAATGAAGTCACATGCATTGCTCAGGTGTGAGTTTTACCACAGACCTTAACAGAGTGTAAAAATCTTAATTGTTCCGTGGCTCTCGTCTATTAAATCACATCTTTATTTTGTGTTTTATATTGGATTCAAGTCAGGTGATTGTCTGAGCCATTCTACAGCCTGATTTTCTTTCTCTGAAATCGTTTAAGAGTTTCCTTGTCTGTCCATTGTCTTGCTGAAATGTCCACCTTGGTTTCATCTTCATCATGTTTATAATGTACAAGTTGGACTAAAGCAATTAGTATTTATTTACAATGACGAGGGATAGAGGTTTGCTGAAGAACTACAGAGATTTCAGCTGCTGTCTGGGATTTCACTGCCTTTCTACTTCTTCCTTTCTTCATGTGTTCAATAATTTTTCCCTGCGTCATTTCTCTTTATTACACACATCATAATTTGTAAACTAATTAGTTTTATTTTCTTTGCAAATATAGATGTCATTAATTTTACCAACATCCGGTGAACATTTCAAGTAATCAGCACCTTTAGAAATATGTTTTCTGAGAAAACTGGTGACGTGCTCAATACTTATTTTCCCCAGTGTTTAGAATAAAACAAGTGGTAATTTAAAATGTTACATTTTTGAATAATTAATTAAAAAAATTATTGCTGACAAATGAGTAAAACCTTGTGGTTATAAGAATAATATCAGAGCATAAAAATCAACACTGTGGATAGATGCTCACATGATAAAACATGTGACGAATACAACATTAAAACTAAATATAATGGAACACAATTGCAGGTTTTGTCCTTAACATCATGTTAGTGTACAGAAAGAAGAAAGGGAAGAATATTTCACCCAGATGCCACCAGCTCTTGAAGTAACAGATTTTGGGCTGCTTCCTCGGGATCGATACCCATTGGTGGCTGTGCTGACACTAGCCCATCCGGAAACCAGGGATAACTACAACATTGTAAACAGCACATAATCTTTATCAGATTTGCCCAATATGAACTAAAGAAATGTGTTCTATTAACCATTTACTTGTTATTCTAGGCATCTAGTGTGACTGTGATCCACGTTCCTGATGACAAATACAGTCTCTCCACCAGAATCTTGTTCCAGTATCTGCTCACAGCACACGGGACCTTGTACGATCTGAAGGTATAAATATACAAAACTCACACTCCTATCTTTTTTTTAATGCTCTTCTGGGAGCTGTGGCTTTTGTAGGCTTACTTTGATCACACTTAACCTTCCTGACCTTGTGTCCCTAAATCAAAATGGAAGTGTTTAATAATTATGTGCCTTTAATTAAATGTCTAGAGCCAGAGTGTGTGCACAAAAATATTCATTTTTCTTTTCGCAGCCTCTATTCATGTCAGCAGACAACAGCAACTTATCTGGAAGCTCTGAACCTTCTCGCACTCAAGGGGCGGAGCTACAGCCAGAAAGCTCAGGTGAAAAGGGGGAGGAGTCTGATTCAGAAGAGGAGTGGCCTGATATTCAAGGGCGGGACTGTGTGGTGTGTCAGAATGCATCAATAAACAGAGTGCTTTTGCCATGCAGACACGCATGTGT